ATATTGAAAGTAAAAGGATGGAAAATGATATACCATGCAAGTTAACTAAAAGAAAATTGGCATAGCTATATTAATAACAGTAAGAAAATAGATTTCAAGGCAAAAAATTACTAGACAGTTCACAATAATTGTCAATACAATAGTAAGACATAACAATTCTAAATTTGTGAACATCTAATAATTCAAAAGATATAAGAGAGGAATAGGCTAAACCACAATAAGAAATAAAAAATTCCAACCATGAGTTGGAAATTTTAACACATCTGTCTCGGTAACTGATGGAACAAGAAGACAAAAATCAGTAAGATTTTAGAAAATTTTTAAAATGTGATTAACAACCTTGACCTAATTAATAGTGAAGTTCATGGTACCAAAGAATTTCAAAAGCCAAAATGTTTAAGAATCATATGGAATATTTTCCAAAAATGCTGGGCCATAAAGCAGGCATCAATGAATTTATGAAAATATAATAAAACAGATCATGTGCTTGATCATAATGTTAAAAACCAATAACAAAAAGATAAGTAGAAAAAAACCCTAAATGTTGGGAAATTAAGATACATGTATCTAAATAATTCATGGACCAAAAGATAAGTAATAACAAAAATTAGAAAAAAATTAACTGTATAATGAAGATACAATACATCACAATTTATGACATACAACTACAATTATATTTTAAGGGAAATGGACAGTTTTAATGCATATATTTAAAATGAAAAGCTGAACATTAAATAAGTATCCATCTTAAGAATTTAGGAAAAGAAGTGAAAATTAAATACATAAAGGGTAAAAGGAAAGAAGTATAAAGATGAGAGCAGAAATCAATGAAAGAGAAAGTAAACATATAATAGAGAAAATAAATAAGAGTTTAGTCTCTGAAAGTCCAGAGAAAATTAAGAAGTCTCTACAAAAGCTTATTTAGAAAAAAATTGAGGAATAGAAATTATTAATTCAGTAATTAGGCTGCCTGGCTAGCTCAGTCAGTAGAGCATGAGACTCTTAATTCAGTAATTAAAAGGGTACTTTATTACAGCTTCACTATAATCTCTTTAAGGGGAGTCTGGGCACAAATCCTAATGGCATTGGAAAGATAATAAAATCACATTATGAACAACTTTATGCCAAAAAAATTCACTTAAATGAACAATTTGCTAGATAATCTAACTGACCAAAGAGGACATAAGAAGAAACAGAACATCCAGATAGTACTACATATGTCTTAAACATTGAATCTATGATGTGAAGCCTTCCAACAAAGAAAGCTCTAATCCAGGAGTTTTCACCAAACATTTAAGGAAGAAATAACATCGTCACTCAAACTTTTCCAAAGCATAAAAAATGAGTAAGCACTTCCCAGCTAGCTTTATAAAGATAGATGCAAACAAATAAACAAATTATAAGTTTACTTAAAAGTTATATTCATCAAATTACTAAAACCCAAGAACAAAATCTAAATCACTAGTAAATAGAGAAATACAGATGCAAGTAATAACAAAATGTTACTTTATTCAACAACACCTACTTCTGGAGAAGACGTGGAGGCAAAGAACGCTAACATTGTTGGTGGCAATGTGAAATGTTATGGTTTTATGAAAAGCAATCTGCAAGTACCTATAAAATTTACATATATATGCCTATAACCTAATAATTTCACTTCTGGGAATCTAGCCATAACATTAAGAGCACTAGTATATAAGGATATATATTTAAAGACATTTATTGCAGCTTTGTTATTGTGGCAACAAAATTAAAACCTGGAAGTAAAATTAATGCCTATAAATAAGGAGATAGCTGAGAAAATATGCTTCAGCCATACCATGGAATATTACATAGTTGTTTTTTAAAAATGAGACTAGAAATTTACCTTTCAGTCTAGAAGGATTTACCTGAGGTTTTATTGAACAAGGTGTGGAAAAGAGTATATAATATTCGCTCTTTATATTTTTACAAAAACAACAGAAAACAGAAAGCTCATTATGCATAGAGAGAGAGAGAGACAGAGAGTGTGTGTGTGTGTGTGTGTGTGTGTGTGGTGTGTGTGTGTCTGCACACGTGTATGTGCGATGTAAATGATCACTTCAGTACGGAGAACAATATGGAAGGTAACATACTAGATTCCCTTTATACACTAGTTCACTATCATGAGTTCATGCGCTATTAAAAAAGTAAAGAAGGAGGGGAGAAGAAAAGGGGGAAGAAGATGCTACACAAAAAACAAAAGAAACCTTTATTTCTTTGTGTAAAATTATCTTTGTATGCACATAAACAAATTAAATAACGTTAAAAGACAAAGACCAAATAACGATTTTGTAGTCTTCTTATGGAAGATTAAATAATTTAACGTTTTTGCTTCTTCTATCTTTCTGATCATTTCAGACATTAAAAAAAAATTTAATCCAGAATTATCAACCCCATTACTTGCTTTCAAAACATATTAATAATTGAGCTGTTTTCTTTTTTCTTGTACTTTAATATTTACAACATTTTTACTTTTAAAAAAAGCGTTTAAAATGCTCAGTGAAGTAATTATAGCTCGCCTCATCTTTTCTTGCTTTATTTTTTTCATAACACACGTTGTCAACTGAGATCTTGCCATATGCTCATCTTCCTCCTGTCCTCCACACCGGAATGCGCGTGCGCCAGGCAGGGACTGGTTCTATTGTTTACCGCTGTGTCTACAGTGCCTGGAGGGGTGTCTGGCAGACAGTAGGTGCTCAGTCAATGCTTGAATGAATTCGTGAATGAATACATTTTCTATTTCCACTTCTCTATACTTGAGTTCATTTCACTTATGAATTTGTTTAACACATGTTTAAAGAAGTCTAAATACAGAGTTAGAAACAGAAATAAATGAAGGTAGAAGACATGGTCCATTCCTCCCAAACAGCGTATGTTCCAGTAGGAGAAAAGACCTTGAAAGTCAGTGATTGTTCAGAATTATATGATAAAAGTAAGCATCGTGTATTCACGGAGTACCGAGGAGGGGCACTTTAGTCACACTGTTTGGGGGTGCAGCTGTGTAGAAACTTTCAGAATGCAGTCCCTCTGTGAGGGAAGCTGGGGTGGCTCTAAGGACAACCAGCACGGCCACATGGCAGGAACCAGGATACCCGAAGGAATCCCCCTGGTTGGAAAGAGTTGGAAAGCAGGCAGGAAGGGTGGCGAATGGCTTCCAGGTCAGCATGACACTCAGGGTCAAGCAGCACAGGTGTGATCGTCTACTGAGGAATCCAGATCGAATTACAGTCAAAATATTGTTCTGTTGTCTCTACTAAAGTCAAGTTGGAGGTGAATGGGTCAAGGCAGCTTAGCACTAAATCCTGGGCACTGGTTTCCCACAGAGTTTGCTGGGTCAGCCTCTCATCTCAATCATCTCTGGGCTTCTGCAAATGGATTTCTGCCAGTGTGTCTCTAAGGAAGGTGGGACGCAAAGCTTTGAGGTGCTGCTGCAGGACTTAGTCCTGTGGGTTTGCAGAGGAAGAGGCAGCCTGAAAGTTTCCAGTGGGATTGTCTTCCCAGGCCTGAGTCAGTGAGGAGCTAACTCCTCTTCTGTATACAGCAGCCCTATCCATACATCTCGTGAATTCTGGCAATTAGGTATAATATAACAATTTTTTGCTTAGAGCACTCTTGGGATTAGTCATGATGGTATCAATAGTAATTATATATTGGGTTATTATCATGGCTCATTTAATCTTCACAAAAATTCTATGTGGCAGTCACTATTATTAGCCCCACTTCCCAGATGGAGAAACTGAGACTTGGAAGGATAAGTAACTTGCACAAAACCATGCAGCCAGAAGGTGACACAGGTGCATACCCTGGCACCCAGGGTTTACCAGTTTATGAAGCCGCACTTCCCTTTAACTCCCAAATCATAGAAGTCAGAGCTCCTGTCCCTTGCCCATTCTGTTTGGACATTTTGAGGAATATCAGTGTGTTCGCCCATTGCCTCCTGTGTGCTTCCCACCCCAGGCATCATCTGGCTCTGGGAACAATGCTTGTTCAACGTGTTGCCATTCGTAGGCTCAAGATCAGCTTCCCTCTAGATACTTCCACTCTCCCTATACCACCTCTTTCCCAAATGTGGGAATAGCACCCTCCTGCCATTCCTCTGCTGAAATGAGATTGAGATGTCGAATTTAACACAAACTGGCTGAAAGGTAGGCTATGAGAGGCGGGATTACCACCCAAGAGGTTTACATTGAGTATTATCGATGGCTTCCCTCAGAGTCCACGGGCCCAGTCTCCTTCATGGTGGCCCTCTGCTGCCCTCTTTTCCTGGATTCCAGCCTGCCTTGCTGGATAGAGGTTGACCTGCATGCCCTGCCCCAGGCTGCTACTTGTCACTAAGGCCACACCAAAGGAAGTGTCCTTGAGTGTGACAGCCAAGGCAAGATCCAGTCGAGTCATATCCCAAGTCCTACCGACAGAAGGCAGTTTCCTTCCCTTAATGCTAAGGTCCACCTTCAAAGTCTTTATTTTCCAGCCCTATGATTAACCCTCCCTAAGCATGATTGACAATGGAAAATCAGATTCCAGCCGAGTGCCGTGGCTCACACCTGTAATCCCAGCACTTTGAGAGGCTGAGGTGGGTGGATCAAGAGGTTAGGAGATCGAGACCATCCTGGCTGAGACGGTGAAACCCCATCTCCACTAAAAACACAAAAAATTAGCTGGGCTTGCTGTCAGGTGCCTGTAATCCCAGCTACTCAGGAGGCTGAGGCAGGAGAATCACTTAAACCAGGGAGGAGGAGGTTGCAGTGAGCCAAGATCGCACCACTGCACTCCACCGTGATGAGCTTCCTTCAAGAAAACCCCAACCACATCTGTGGGAATACAGTCTTGCCCTTCAGCCCTTAAAGGATATCTAAACAGAAAGTTTCAAGTCCAGACAATTCCGAAATTCTAGATTATTTAGTCTTGAAAAACATCTTCTGTGACCTGTTAATAGTCTGGGCCAAGCCAAAACCCTTTCTTTTTCATCTTTCCTCCAGGAACCCTGTTGGCCACGCCCACACAGGCTTTCTGTCATCTTCAAGGTCGTCTCCAGGATCTGGGACCAAATGCTTGAAGAGTAATATAGAAATACGTCCTGAGAACAAGCAGTACGATACCAAATAAGACAGCCTAATCCAGTCGTTGTGTAAGAGGCATTTCTTTAAAGGAAGTAAATCTGTCTACAGAATGCAATTCTGTCCACCCCTCTCCACCTCCACCACCCTCATTCATGATAACCTGTTAACATTGTTATGCAGAGAAACTCAGCTCTTTGGAAATCCATTGCCTTTGCTTTGCTTAGTCAGAAGGGTCATTGCCCAAGAGTGAATCCAAGAACCCACCTTCAGCAAAAAAGGAAATCACTGGAACCTTTGAAATCATGGCTCGGTTTCAGCTTCAACCCTCCTCATTAGGACTATATAAACCCCAGGACAATGTTTTCTTTTGAGGACCAAGTTCAGAATGCCTTGACTTTTTATTCTTTCAACAGCCTCTGCAAGGTGATTTCCAAAGCAGGTAGTTTAAGAGCAACAGTAGCTAACATCACACCAAGCACACTTCACACATTCTATCTTGTTTTCCAGCAAGGAGAATAAAACTCAGAGAGGTTGAGTGGTTTTCGTAACGTTCTATAGCTAATAACTGAGAGAACCAGTATTTGAACCCAGTCAGTCTGGTTCTGGTTCCAGCCCTCTTAACTGCTTTTCAGGTGGGAAATGAGAGTCCAGTCTGGGAATGGGAAGAATTGCAGACCCATCTCCCCTCTACAGCAGACTGTGGGTACTGTGGCATTCTCTTGGTGTGGATTGAGATCAGTATCCTTCCATGGCGTATATAGCCAATATTCAGTATTTAGATGCCAGAGACACTGAAACCTAATCAGCCTGAACCTGCAAAATCCTTCCCCTGCCTCCACACTAATCTGGAGGAGAATGTAGGTCGGTGACGCAGACTCCTCCACTTCCCCACAGTCAAGGAGAGCCAGGGCCAGAGTGTGGCCCCTTTGGGATTCCCTTCCTTGCTTTTTTTTTCTTTTCTATTTATTTTCTTCTTCTTCTCTTCTTCTTCTTCTTCTTCTTCTTCTTCTTCTTCTTCTTCTTCTTCTTCTTCTTGTTCTTGTTCTTCTTCTTCTTCTTCTTCTTCTTTCTTCTCCTTCTCCTTCTTTTCTTCTTCTTCTTTTTGTGAGACAAGGTCTGTCTGTCACCCAGGCTGGAGTGCAATGGCATGATCACAGCTCACTGCAGCCTTAACCTCCTGAGCTCAGGTTATCCTCCCACTTAAGCCTCCCAAGTAGCTGGGACTACAGGTGTATGCCACCACACCTGGCTAATTTTTTAATTTTTTGCAGAGATGGGGTTTTGCCACATTGCTCAGGCTGGTCTCAAACTCCTGAGCTCAAGTGATCCTCCTGCCTCCATCTCCCAAAGTGCTGGGATTATAGGCTGGTTCTCTTCTTGACATTATAATTTCTGTTGGTCCCAGCTCACCTCCCCAGGCTGATATCTGCTACAGATGCTCACTCAACTCAGTGGGCCCTGACATCACTGCAGGCTTTTTCCTGGGGTTCCATATCAATAAAGTATTTGATTGGAGGCTACAGGACTAAGTAGAGAGAAGGGATTGGTCAGAGGGAAGAGAAGGAACTGTATTCCAAACTAGTGGAGGTTGCTAGCTTAACTCAGTTCTCTCTATTTTTCTTTCTCATTAGAGTCACTTCCTGTATGCATAGGGCTCCCCCAGGGTTGTCTTTCCCCCTTAGTTTGCAGATCATCCTGGCTATTTATGTTGGATGCAGAGGTGGAGTTTGATAACTCTTTGTGGTGTCTCCTAATCCAGGATCATAAGTCCTGTGTTTAGCAGACATTCCTTTGCATCCGTGGTATTTGGTTGAGTACGTGTATAGGCCCCTTTATTTAAATTATTTTACCCAAGAGGTGGTTTTAAATGAATTCAGGTTTTGGATGAATTCTTAGAGCATCAAATATCATTGCAAATGTGATTACTAAACCATTGTTGATAATGTTTTTGAGGTCATAGAGAACTAGAGACGGGACACAAAACAGAAGATTGACAAATGTTGAATGTTTTTCACAAAGGTGAGATGGATGGCATGTGAAAATTGCAAACTGATGAGTGTGACATCTCTTACCAATAAGATACAAGAATGGACTGACTACTAAGTAGACAGTTTCTGCACACTACATGGTTTCTTAAGGAATAGCTCATGCCAAATGACCTAGTCTGTTTCTACGTGCTTATTAGAGTCAAGGATCAGGAAGTACTATGGGCGTGGCTCCTCCTGAATACAGTGAGACATTTGAAGAAGTTTCTTTTGAAATCTTAGTAGATAAGATGGAAAAATGTGAGTTGGCTACGGTTAATTAGGTGGATTTGTAACTGGCTGAACAACTATACCTAAAGGACATTGACAAAATATTTTTTAATCAACAACTCACAGAAATATTTATGACATGCATATCATCATTTGCAAATGATGCCAAATTGCAAGGGATAGCTAATAATTTGAATGACCGACAAAGTTAGGATTCTAAAGTATTTTGCTAGACTGGAACTTGGATTAAAGCTGAAAACAACAAAGTGAATGGAGATAGTGTGGAGTTTTTCCTTCAGGTGTAAAAAAAGAAATTGTATAAGCACAGGAAGAATAGACGTGAGTTAGCAGTAATCCCTTGCATTAGTTGGGGATACCTTTGGCTGCAAGTAACAAAAATATCTGATTCGGGATGGATAAGGCAATTTATCATCTCCTGTAACAAAGAGACAGGAAAAGGAACTGTGGGTGTGAAAGCTTTACTTCTCTGAGATACTCCAAGCTAGCAGTTGTCAACCAGAGCAGTTTTACCCCCAGGGGACATTTGACTATACCTAGAGACATTTTTGGTTGTCACAACTGGTAAGGTGGGAGTATGCTACTGGCATTTAGTGGATCGAGGAGATGCCATGGATGCTGCTAAACATCCCACAATGTGCAGGATAACTCCCACAACAAAGAAATACCTGGCCCAAAATGTCAGTAGTTTAAGACTGAGAAGCACTAATTTACAGTAATCCAGATCTACTGCCTGGAGGCTTCCCTGAAGTCACATGGGGGAAGGGTGGATAGCTGAGCAAAATTGGGAATTGTTAGGAAGGAAGAAAGGAGGGATGGACATTGGAGGATCCATAAAGATACTACATTCATGTTAAAAATATTTTTTAAAGTCTACCATAAAGATACTACATTCATATTAAAAATATTTTTTTATCGATTATGAGCCAAGGTCACTGCCAGCCCAGAGAAGATCTTTGTATGATTTAGAAAAGACACCCACCTTCCTCAGCAACTTTACTGCCATCTACTGGAAAATTACTGAAGGAAATACATAAATCTACAATAGATTGTAAATAGAGCCCCCTAGAGTTGTGCCACACATAACCTCACAATAATTTAAAGCATCCCTTCTGTGAGTCTAACATGATCCAGCTATATAAAATGGCTGTCAAAGAAGTAGTTTAGGACTTTACCAACAGGAACTATATGTCCCAAGTAAGGAAGGTCAAAATCTCACCATATCCTCCATTGGTCACACCACAGCTGGAATTCTTGATAAATTCTTTGTTTCATAGTTGAAGAATTTTTTTTAAGTGACCAAAGAAAGTTGGACTGGAGGAAGAAGAGTCAAGGAGTCATAATATATGAGAAGCATGTGTGGAGGAGGGAAGAAACTAGAGCCGGTGAAGAAACACTAAAAGTGAACTGGAGCATTATCTCCAAGTATATGAAGGGTCTTAAGGGGAATAGAGACCAGACTAAATCTGTGTTTCTCCAAAGGGCAAAACTGGGTCCAATGTGTGAAATCACAGACCCATGAGATATGTCTGGAAGTGACATTGGTGGTCAACTAATCAAACCCGTTTTTCAAACATCCCTCCTACAGTACTTCCACAGCAGCTACCCTGCCACCACACCTTCAGCAAAGCGGCAATCCTGTGATCTTTTGGTGATGCTGGAGTGTTTCACACTGTGTAGAGATTTGCTCTACACAATAAAGGAAGTTTCACAACCAAGGTTTCCATCCAATGGCTTCAAGTAGAAGATGGACCACCATTGGTCAGCGATCAGATCCCTCGTCCATCAAATGAAAGAGTTAAACCTAGAAGATCTCTAAGTTATTTCCTGCTATCCAAGTGGATTATAGTCTCTGGGCTACAAAAGTAAGAGTTTGATGTTGCTGCCAAGCTTTTCTTCTCATTTCCTCACCCTCCTTGTACACGTTTGCACGATTTGGCACTTGATTTTACCATAATTAATTTAATCAGCTCCCAACTAGCGAACCTTTAGTGTGTTTCCAATTTTTCATTATTACAAACCATACTGCAATAAACATTCTTATATATTACTTTGGGGCACTTGTGTAAATATTTTTATGGGTTAAGTTCCCAGGAATGGAATTGTTGAGTAAAAGGGATAGACATTTCAAACTTAATCTCCCTTAATGATTTGCATTAATTTACTCACACCAGTACTGGACAATTGCACTCATTCATTTATGTCAAACCGAAAAATTTGTATTTAAATTTTTACTTGTTTGATTATTAGTGAAGTTAATATTGTGAATTATTAGTTAGGCATTGATTTCTATGAATTGCTCCTCTTCATAATCTTTGTCCATTTTTCTATGAGTTATCAGTATTTTGTAAAAGTTCTTTATATGTTGTGGATATTAATGACTCATTCAGATGTATATATATTCAAATGTTATTTCTAGTTTTGAATATGCCTTCTTAGATCTATTTAGATCTTTCACTTTAGAAAAGTTTTAATAAAATCTGACAATGTTTTATGTTACAAATTTTAGGTTTTAAGTTATGCTTGAAAAGCTATTTCAAATGGAAAGATTATGCAGATATTCTGTAATACTTTATGATATGATGTTTTATATTTCTTAGTCTGAATTTTTAAATGCACTGTCAATTTATTATGTACCTTATTTTTTTAAATGAATATCCAAATATTCTTACCATATTTATTTTTTAAAAACCCTCTTTTAAGGCCGAGCGTGGTGGCTCAAGCCTGTAATCCCAGCACTTTGGGAGGCCAAGGCGGGTGGATCACGAGGTCAAGAGATCGAGACCATCGTGGTCAACATGGTGAAACCCCGTCTCTACTAAAAAGATACAAAAAATTAGCTTGGCATGGTGGCGCGTGCCTGTAATCCCAGCTACTTGGGAGGCTGAGGCAGGAGAATTGCCTGAACCCAGGAGGCGGAGGTTGCAGTGAGCCGAGATCGCGCCATTGCACTCCAGTCTGGGTAGCAAGAGTGAAACTCCGTCTCAAAAAAAAAAAAAAAAAACCCTCTTTTATTATAATTGCCACTTATTTACATATTTACTTCCCATTTGTTATGTGTATCTATTCTTACACTTTCAATTCTCTTCCATTCAGCAACTTTTCTTTTTTTGTACCTCTATCATACAATTTTCAATACTGTGGTTTTATGGTGCTTTTTGAGTGCTCATAGAATAATTTCCCTCTTAATTTTCTTCTTTTACAAAAAATAGAATTGATTTTTTCTTGGAATTTAATTAAATTAATGGAGCAATTTGGGAATAAGTAATATTTTTATACAATTAAATCTACCAATCCAAGAACTGGTGTCTGTTCTTACTAACTCAAATATTCTATATCTTTGAAGAAAATTGTTTAATTTTTATATATGTCTTATACATTTCTAAAATATATTACTAGTTATTTTGTAGTTAAGCATGCTCTTTGAAGGATTTTATTAAAATTTTAATTTTCTAACAGGTTTTTGTTGGTATGTAGGAAGTCTATGGATTTTTGGTTTTTTAATATAAATTTAATCTGGATGCTTCGTAGATCTCACTGTTTACATACTTGACTGATTCTCTTGGATATGTTGTTTATTCATGTTATCCACAATAATGATGATTTTTCCTTTTTAATTTACTTTATGTAGTTCTTTACTTGACTTTTTCATTGTTTTGGCTAGAACCTTCAGAACAATGATAAATAATAGCAGTGATGGTGAGCATCTTTGCCTTATTCTTTATTTTAGTGGTGTTTCTAGTGTTTCACCATTAAGGATGAAGTTCAATGATTTTATAATACTTGTGTCTATTTAATAAACTCTCTTTATTCTCATGATTTACTGGAAGATTTATCAAGAACAGAATTTGAATTGTGCCAAATAAGATTTTGTCAATCTGTTGAAAAGATCACCATTTTTTTTCTTTAACTAGTAATACAAATGTATGGATATCTACTACTGAACCAGACTTGAGCTTCTAAAATGCTTAGTCATGATTTTTTATCTTTTAATACATCGTTTTACTGAAATTTTCAATAATTTATTTTAGATTTTTACACTTCCATAAATTGTTGGCACCATCTTTGTCAGATTTTAGTATCAAGGTTACATTAGTCTTATAAAATTGCTCAGTAAGGGCTTCATCTCTAAGTATAGATAACAAATATTTGCTCTATGGAGATGTGACAGATCTCACTTATAAAACCATCTGCCCTGAGGTATTCAGGGTGTTACGTATTTTATTATCTTTGCCCTTTCTTCTGTGATTATTGTTCTTTCAGATCATCTGCCTTTTCTTCAGCCATTTTTGCTACTTATATTAGTGGTCATTTCGTCTAGAATTTCAACTTCACTGAAATAAGTATGTGATATTAATTTTTTTAAAATTCCCTCTGCATAAGTAGTTATATCTTGATAAGGTTAGGCTGTGTTCCTACCCAAGTCTCATCTTGAATTGCAGCTCCCATAATTCCCATATGCTGTGGGAGGGACCTAGTGGGAGGTAATTGAATCATGGGGGCAATTTTCCCCTTAACTGTTCTCTTAGTGAATAAGTCTCATGAGATCTGACAGTTTTATAAAGGATTTCCCCTTTCACTTGATTCTCATGCTCTCTTGCCTGCCTCTACGTAAAATGTGTCTTTCACCTTCCACCATGATCCCATGTGGAACTGTGACTTCATTAAACCTCTTTTCTTTATAAATTACCCAGTCTCGGGTATGTCTTTATCAGCAGCATGAAAACGGACTAATACATATCTACTTTCTTATTGAGAAAATTATGTATTTGTATTCTTTTTTACTCCTTTTTTCTGCCAGTCTTTAAAAAATTTATCTATTTTTTAAAAATCTTTTCAAAACAATTCCACAAGTACAAAAGTCACGTCTATTTTGCTCATCTTAGCATCCTCTGTGATCTTGTGCAGTACCTAGACATAGACACACAATAAATATTTATTGTCAAAGTAAATCAATAGAAACTTGTTTTGATTCTCTGTATCCTATTTTTTCTCTCTACTGCTCCATTTTTTCTTCTACTTTATTTCGATGTTTTGTTGTTTATCTTCTTGTTTCCAGAATAAAACTCTCAGTCAGTTCTTTTCAAACTTTTATTTATAAAAATAAATTAAACAATGAATTCTACTCTGAGTGTAGCTTTGGCTTCACCCCATAAGCCTTGATATATCTTTTTTATTATTAATTTTTAAATAGATAGTAATTTTTAAATGGTTATCAATAATTTTGTTTTTAGAAAATCATTTATTTTTGTTTATTATTTCTAGTTTTATTGGACTGCAGTAGTTTTTGAAATACCTCGAGAATTTATTTATGTAGTTGTACAAGGTCAATTTTTGTAAATAATTTACAGGTATTCAAAAAGGATTTTTTTATATGTCTTAGGTATAAAGATAGGAGACCACATGAGAAAAAGCAGGTGTGGGAGAAGATAACATGTCCAGTCTTAACTTACTGCTTTCGAGTTGCCTGCAAAAATGACAAAGTGTCAGTATGTGGGGCCGCTAGTTGGGTCTGGGGCTCAAGAAAAAGATGAGCCTGGGAGTCATTGCTGTGTGTGGTAGTTAAAGCCAACATGCATGAGGTTATCTCAAGAACATGTAGAATGAGAAAGGCTGGCTGCTGCATGGGCAGTTGATCACACAGGACCCGTGCTCAGAGGGCCCATGCTTGGTTTAATGCTCTGCTGTCACCATCTCGAATTTCTTAATAATTGTTGAACCATGGACCCACATTTTCATTTTGCACTGAGCCCTGCTAATTATGTAGCAGTTTCTGAGTGTGAGAAGGACAAAGACAAACTCTGAAGCCCCAAGCTCAAAGGGATGGGCAGTGCAAAAGAAGCTGGGGAGATTACAATGGAACCCTGTGCCAGGTTGGAGGCAATAGTGGAGGGTTGGATCATAGGAGAGACAGGGGCCAAGGTCTCACAAGGGCTACGTCATGCAGAAGCATTGTGGATGAAGAGGTGTGGGAAGCTGCCAAGCTGTGCTGTTTGAGGTGTGAAAAGGACAGGGACATGTAGGCAACCAGAGTGACATAGTATGGAGAAAGATCCAGATTCTGACACTTCTTACATCTTCTACGGTCACTATTGTAGTTCACACCCCCACGGGCTCCTGTCTGCACTACGACAGCAGCCTCCTGACTTGTCCCTGCCTCGGCCTTGCCCCCATGGTCACAGTGTGCTGAAACTTCAGTCAGATCGTATCACGCCTCTGGCCAAACCCATCAAAGGCCTCTCATCTCAGAAGAACATCAAGTCTTTCCTGTGGCCTCCGAGGCCCTACTGGGTCCAATCCCCACTCCCTGTTGCCTGCTAGGCTCCCCTTCATTCACATGGCTCCAGCCACACTGGCCTCCTTGGCTTCTTCCTGCACTCTCAACTTGCCTCACAACTTTACCTGGAATGCCCTTCCACCATTTGCTCCTTGACCAACTCCCTCTCTTCCCTGGGCTCTGTTCAAATATAGGGAGCTCCTCCCTGGCCAGCCTGTCCATGCCTGCTCCTCCTTGCTTTATTTTCATCACAGCCCGCACCACCACTTATATTACTGTGTAGTTATTGGCTTGCTTTTTGTCTTTCCACCCCTGGGAGAGCAGATGATTGGTTTTGCTTGCAGTTTATCTGTTTTATGCTCTTGTAGAAGAACAGTGGCCCAGGAGGATATCAGCAGCAGTGTGGACCCTATTTCCCAAGCCAAAAACTAAGATATGTTGTCTAGTAATGAGACAGAATATGCATTTATTTGTCTGTTTGTGTATACTCCTCTTTGTTTCACAAAAGGATTTAAGGCAGTTTACAAAGATGCAAAAAATTCAGCAAGATGACATAAATTAGAAGCAGGTGAGAAAGAAAAAAATGTAAAAGCAAGGGCAAAGCCATAAAATGGAGCCAAGGATGGGACTAATACAAAATAAACATACCATAAACTTTGATCCATTTGCTAGGGGCGGGCCACAAAATTGGCTCTAAAATTTCTAACAGTCAGTGCCAAGATGAAACATGATCAACTCCACAATTCCCAGGATCCTCAAGATTAAAGCAAACCACTAGCCCAGGAGAAACGCTCGCATTCCTGATGTCCGAGAGAACAGAAAGAAATGGCTCCTTAACCCTCCCAGAGATGACAAGGGATAAGACAGCAAGCAATGTGCTCAGAGGCGTCTTTGCAGCAGACACAGTCATGAGCTGTGTTTCTTACATGTCTTAGCCAAGCTTATGGGAGTCTGACTAATGTGAAATGCAGTTATTTGGTGGGCTAGGGACAAAGGGTTTGGTCCAGCCATAGGCGTGCCCAAGTAACTGGTGGAGGGTATAATCTACAAATCCCTTCTTTCTTTCTCTCTCTTTCTTCTTTCTTTCTTTCTTTCTTTCTTTCTTTCTTTCTTTCTTTCTTTCTTTCTTCTTTCTTTTTCTTTCTTTCTTTCTTCTTTCTCTCTTTCTTTCTTTCTTTCTCTCTTTCTTTCTTTCTTTCTTTCTTTCTTTCAGTCTCACTCTGTCACCCAGGCTGGAGTGCAATGGTGCAATCTTGGCTCACTGCAGCCTCCACCTCCTGGGTTCAAGTGATTCTCATGCCTTAGCCCCCCAAGTAGCATAGCTGGGACTACAGGCTTATGCCACCATGCATGGCTAATTTTTGTATTTTTTTTTTTTTTTAGTAGAGACAGGATTTCATGTTAGCCAGGCTAGTCTGGAACTCCTGACCTCAAGTGATACACCTGCCTCGGCCCCCCAAAGTGCTGGAATTACAGGCATGAGCCACTGCACCCAGCTCCAGTAATGCTGTCTAAGGGGAGCTTCTTTAGGCCAAGCTTCAGGCAGATGTTGGGGGACTGTGAGTTCTCATGACTGGCACCCTTACTATTATGAGAACATGACAAGGCTAGGTGACAAAGCTTTGTTTGAGACCCACTAGATGTGAGACTGCAAAGAGGCTGGACAACCTCTAGTAAAAATGAAGCAGGCCTAACAAGGGCTTGTTCCCTCTCTCAAGATGAGCAAGATTCCTCCCAGAAAACAAGACCAAGATTCAAACAAGACCAAGATTCTTCCCAGAAAATAATGATGAGCCCAGTGCAATAGAGTGCAATTGACTTCAACCTGGGAACATATTAAAGCAGACCCGGACAAACACCTACCTAATTTGTGTGTGTGACAGTAAAGTCTCCTTCCTGCTGTACCTTCCAAGATAAACCATTTGGGAAGAACACACGCCAAGTTAACTGAGAGGAGCCCTGTGTGGGATAATTAACTGTCGTTAAAAGCCAAAGGACAACCATCAAAAATAATGACTTTGCTGATAGAGTATTTGATCTGAAATCTTCCTTTCTGGCAATAATTAAATAGCAGGGCAAGCTGTGTCCTGGGATTGAATACTGAAAGCAAGCTGCCCCAGAAAATCCAGACTACAGGCCTGTGGGAGACAGAGCAGGGCCGGTGTGGCCCCTCCCCAGACCTGCTCCCCACCCCTGATAAGGATCCCAGCCACCTCCCTGCCTCCCTGGGGTGTTGAAAGTCTCCAAGATAGCAAAGTTCCCCTCCTCTGAGATCCCGTGAGGGAAAGTGCTAGGCAAATAAGAAACATGGCATAGGACAAAGAGCAGCTGGAAGACTGGAACTGCAAGGAGGGCTCAGAGCCCTGGCTCCTGAAAGTAGGATCTCAGCTCCATGACTAAGTCAAAGACATGGATTGGCAGCTTTTCTGAGTATCTTCCCTAAATGCTTCTTGACACAGATTAAAACATCCTGTCAAATCCACAAATACTGAGCACATTCAACTACCAAAGTCCAGTACATCAATGTCCCCAAGAAGTGCCCTGCCTCCCTCCTGGCCACCTAGCAGCTTCCTTGCTCTGTGAACAACCTCTCGACCTCCCAGCCGCCCTGCACTCCTCATACCTCTTTCTTTCTCCTCACTGATGCTAGCAGCAGAATTGGCCTCTATATGAAGAGAGCTTGGTCCTAACCCTGTGGACTACACCCACTCTGGCCTCCCTAGTCCCCTGAGCTTTGATCTGGCTGCCCCTCTCCACGTTCCCCACAACCACAAGAAAGTGGAGGCTAATTATTATCTCAATTTTACAAATAAAGAAACAGGCTCAGAATCATCCCATGGTTTTCCCACAGCTGGATCCCACAGTGTCCAGGGAGGGAGCAGAGCTCACAGCTCCCGACTCCTGGCCTATGAGTCGCTACGCCCATCTCTATCTCCAAAACCAGCAACTAGATCCAGGGGGAGTCATCCTTGCCCCATGAGGGCAACTGGGGTGCACAGTAGGCAGGTGTTTGTGTGGGGGGCAGAGGCCAGGAGGTGGGGCAGGCTCTCTGGAGTTCCATCACGTCCATAGCTCCTGTTTCATGATACTAAGGGATGACCCAGCCAGATGGAATCCACGAGTTCCCCCATTACAACCCTTCCCTTTACAGATGTGGAAACTGAGGCTCAGGGAGCAGGAGGGCTCCTCAGTAGAGTGCCCACTCCATGATGGGAGCTGGGCACCAGCACCCATAGGTGAGCAATGGGGGGACCAGACTCTCAGTTGGCCACACACCTCCCCCGGCCCCTTGAGTTCTTCTAAACCACCCTGACAAGGCCTGGTCATGAGTTCTGGAAAGAGCATGGGACTGCACACCAGTAGCTCTTCCTTCTGGCCCCAGCCTTG